GCAGTCCATCTCCGAAAGCTACTATAGAATGGTGTACCGCAAGGCTCTCCATTGAGAGGTACGCTCTTTCGTAGCGATCAACGAGATGTTTGACGGCATAAAGCGTCAATTGGAAAATGCATGTATGTAGATGACATTGCTATATTCTACTCAGCCAAATCACCGGCAATGATCCAATTCAAAATGCAAAATGACATCAATAAATTAGTACAGAACGCGAAAAACATTGGTTTCTCATTTACAGCAGCCAAAACCAAATGCTTTCACTTATGTAGGAAACGAAACAGAGATCCAGATCTGGCGCTGATTGGTGTTCAACTAACATACAATGAAACGGAAAAATTCCTTGGTTTGATTTTTGATAGACGTTTAACGTGGAAACAGCATCTAGAATATGTCTTGCGTAGATGCAAAACAGCTCTGAACGTAATCAGATGCATTTCCCGTATAAATTGGGGGAGCAGATAGAGACATCTTACTCCACCTGTACAAATCCATGGTACAAACCCATGGTCCGCCTGTACATCCAAAATAGATTGTGGATGTGAAGGGTTCTCATCAACCAGAAAATCAAGCTTTAGGAAATTAGAACCCGTTCACAATGCAGGCCTCCGATATGCATCTGGCGCATTCCGCACTAGTCCTTCCTAAAGCCTCTACTGTGAAATCAGCACCATGTAGCTACATCACAGACGAAAAACAATGCTAGTCAACTATAGATCAAAATTGCTATCACTACCAAAACATTTAAACCACTCACTGATGACTTGACCTAAGCTGGCAAAGATATACGTTCACAGACCTTCAGCCAACATCTGCGCAATCGAGATAGCCAAATGCTATAACATCGTCCTACCACCAGTTTTGAAACACGAACCATATGAAATTCCAGTTTGGATGTTGAAAATGTCAGAAGTTAGACTCGACACTACCAGTGTAAAGAAAAAAGAATGCCTTCCCATAGTTTTAAAAGTGAGATTTCGATCAGTTCTCGAAGAATACATGGCAAATCACACAATAATCTACACAGATGGTTCAAAAACAAAACATCGGGTTGGAAGCGCATTTGTAAGTGAAGACTTATGAAAAACTTCCATCAGAAGCAAATGTGTACATTGCCGAGTAGTATGCAGTATTGCAATCTTTGCGACACTGTGAAACTCTCAATTCAAGAAAATCCGTCATCTGCACAGACTCGCTTAGTCTTCTCACTGCAATAGACAGACGCCAAACTGTAGACCCACTGCTACAAATGATTCTCATATCATGCTATAAATTAGAGCAGCGAGGAGCATCAGTTACGTTCATCTGGTGCGCTGACACTTGGGTATCCCAGGCAATGTAGAAGTCGATTCTGCAGCAAGAAATGCCGTAAACATCCAATCAGAAATGGATATTGAAATACGACCTCAAGATGCAAGAAATGCTGCCTCGAAGTGCATCTTCATAGAATGGCAGATCACGTGGAACAGTCTTCACACGAAGCTACACCCCATTAAACAGAACATTAGTAAATGGTCACCAAATGTCAGCTACACTGGAGAACAAGTGTGCAAACTAAAATAGGCCATGCAAGAATAACTTCTTCATACATGCTAAGAAATGAAGAACAACCCATCTGCAGCTGCGGAAGACTTCTGACAGTAAAATATATTCTGACAGACTGTAGATCTCTCGAAGACTTAGGCACAGATGCGGCTTGAGAGGCAACACAGAGGATCTCGGCACCGACAAGACGGCAACTGACAAGACAATAAAGTTCCTGAAAGAGGCCAATTTGTTCTACAAAATTTAAATTTAATATATTATTGATTTTAATGTCAAGCAGTAAAAAGGCTAAAGACCTTAGATGCCAAGCCTTCAAACTATTAAAATAATAATAATAATAATAATAATAATAATAATAATAATAATAGGAAGCAATCAAGGAAGAAGTGAGAAACATGCTA